CCTAGTAGGGGGCGTGCAGGAGGCAGCTGATCCATGTATCTCTCTCACATCGATGCTTCTCTCTCCCTAAAAATCAATAAAACCATATTTTTAAAAAAATAAATATTTGGGTTTTCAAGTTTGTATCATAGAATTGTAAACTTGCAGAATTATAAAATTCCAACCAATTATCTTTTAAAATCTTCATGGTTTCTTTTATTTTTCATTTTGTTTCTGTAGCTTTTATAGAGACTATGACGATGTTTGAGAAGAGCTCTATGCATATGATCTCACTTGTTTGTAATAAGAATCCATTTAAACTATTATTTCCACTTCACAGATGAGAAGCTGGGTCTTCGAAAAGGTTAAAGTGCTTGTGAAAGTTTTTGTTGTTCTGGGCCCACATTCAAACACTGACTTCAGAGTCGCTGGCCCTCAGCTGCCCGAGCAGAGAGCTCAAGACTGAGTCCTTGAATTATGTACGGATTCCGGTTTACTTTTAGGCTAAAAACCTAAGCTGACAGCCTCCTGGGAAAACACAAAGCTGTTTATAATCATCTTGAAAGAGAGAAACTGGAGCCGGAAGCATTCGGTCTAGTACTGTACCAGCACAGAACTTCAGATGAATCCTCTGTCCCACGGAATAAGTCAGTATTGAAAGAAGCACTGCAATAATATATAAATTACGTTTTGTAGGTGTCTCGAATCCAATCTGTTGAGGGTGGTCAAGAAGAGCTTTCGCAGGGACGGCCCTTTAAAGACTGCCTGGCCCGGCTCCTCAGCTGGATGGTGGGCATAAGCCACCGCGAACACCTCCGACTAAGGCAATAAACGTAGGTGCGCTGCTGCGCACCGAGCTTGGAGCCTCGGCAAATACAGAAAAACTGTCCTTCTGTGCAGGGTTCCAAGACTCCGAAAGGGATCTGGGTGCTGGATCATGGTTGTTACTATTATCTTTCAAATATATTTCATTTTGTTCACTGTTTCCATTTGTGAACAGGAATCTAGCATTTCGCGGCACTCAGCCCACGACAGAACGGCCTTCCTTGTCCCCTGCGTGGAGCGGCCGCTTGCCCTCCCCTGACTTTCAAAGGGAGATGGATCGCTGGTGGCCCGCCTTCTTCGGTGGCAAGTCACCGCCAAATTTTCATATCATAGATAAATGAAAATTTTGTCTTAAACCACAAAAGAGTGAAATACAGATTTTCATGTAGACCTTAGATGCTGTAGACTTCAGAAATTACCAAATTTAAGAATCTAAAATTACTTTTCAGAAAAGGTGCTTGGTTTGCATGGGAACCCTGCCCTCAAGGACCGGATTCAGTATTTTGCTCCCTGACTTGCTGTGAACTTGAGTGAATGCTTTCTAATGAGGCCAAACTTTCTCATCTTCGGCGCTGGCTCCAGTCCGCACCTGCACCCGGGCCTCCCGGGGTTGGTGGTGGAGGGCCCCAGTGACTGCTGATCACTGACACAGAGGACCACTTCCTCCTGTGACTGGATTATGCTTTGATGCACGAGTTCCTGGTCTGCCTACTGCGTGTTTGCTCTGTTATCCACTAAGATTTATTGCTGCAAAATAAGAATTCAGCCAGATTAAAGGGAGAAACCCCTCATCATCCAGTTGGCCAGAGAGTTCGTTCCTCAACACAGGTGATCTGACAATATTAAATGCAATTCTGGTTTTCTATACTACTGAGGAAAATGCTGATGGGAAAATGCGTACTATCCCACCTTCCTGCCCAGGAACGATGCCACGTGTCTGGGCATTTCAGATGACCTGTGCTGAAGTAATAATCGTTATTCTACAGAATACTTGTCTGTAGAAGGTGAGGACCTTCAGTAATCAGCTTGTCTCCTCCAGATTCCTTTGGGAAAAGCTGCCCCAGGCTAGAAGAGAATTAATCTTATTTTTAAAAGCCTGCTGAGATAAATAATCCATCTCTTTCATTCTGTGGTGTGGTTTCTTTTGCTCTTGACAGTGAAATTAATGAACAGATGGCCCCTGTGCTGTCTGTATATTCCTTCCATGTATGTAGAATCTATTATTCAATTTCCCCCTTAATTTCTCTTCCCTGTGCACGGTCACTTCGATATTGTATTTTTATTTATTTATCTCTCTACTAATGACCACCTTAAAATGACCCGCCCCAAGCAGGACCCTTCTCATCCCAGTCAAATCAGAAGTGTCATCTCAGACGTTAAAACTTAAGTGTGGCCCTGGCCCGTGTGGCTCAGTCAGTTGGGCGTCATCCTGTGCACCTAAAGGTTGCCGGTTCGATTCCTGGTCAAGGCACATGCCTGGGGTTTTAAGCTCGATCCCCATTAGGGGGCATGCAGGAGGCAGCCAGTCAATGTTTTGCTCTCACATTGATGTTTCTCCCACTCTAAAAACAAACAACAAAATAAACCACTTAAGTGTGATATGAAACAGAAATAGTGCTGATAAAAAAAAAGGCAGGCATTTTCCACCCTGGTCGATTTGGCTCAGCGATTGGAGTGTCGGCCCGCAGACCAAACAGTCACGGGTTCAATTCTAGTCAAGGGCATGTACCTTGGTTGTGGTTCGTCCCTGGCCCTGGTCAGGGTTGTGCGGGAGGCAACCAATCAACGTGTCTCACTCACATCAATGTTTCTCTCTCTATCTCTTCCTCCCACTCTGTCTGAAAATAAATGGAAAAATATCCTCAGGTGAGGATTTAAACAAAAATAAATAAATAAATAATTTTTAAAAAGCAGGCATTTTCCCAGGGCCTCGGGATTTAACAATGTAGTCAGTCAGGAAACTAACTGTCACCTGTAGGTTGATTTGGTCGTGGCTGAGCAGCAGGAAGAGGGTTCTGTGCAGGGAGAGGAAGCGTGAATGGTCCCTGAAACGTGATTTAAACGCCAGCCTGAGCACAGGTCTAATAGCACATGTAAAGTCGTACACTCAAGGCCTTATTTCTGAGATGACCTCATGTCCCTCTGTGGGTGGTCTCGATTTAAGTCTATTGTCCTTGGATTTTATTAGTATCTGTTTTTCCCCTCAGTGTGTCCAGGTTTCGATGCTAATTTATATGGTCACATTGCACATTCTTCATCACTTATCACTTCCTTTCTCCTCTGCCCTGTCCTGCCCTGCATTGATTATCAGTGATTTGTTTCTGATAATTTTCTCTCTTTTGTAACAATCTTTTAATATTTCTATTCTACCTCCCAAGACGATGGCTGTCCCCTGCACTTAGGATCATCTTCAGCAAATTTAATGAGCCTTGTGGAAACTTCATTATATAGGTCAAGGGAACACTGACACCTATGCCTTCCAGATACCATTCGTTTTCTTTTTATCTTCTTTTTTTTTTTTTATCTCCTTTCCTTTCTTTCTGCTGCCACTTCGTCACCCTTGACCTACCCACCAGTTGCTACAGACTGATTAATTTCCAATTTATATCTTAACATCTTTCCAGCAGTTACTGTCTGCTGGGTCTAGTCCAGACCTGTGACACCCTTGTCAACTTTGTGCTGATACATTGTATCAGATTTACTTTCTCAGCTCAGACTTCAGGTCCTCAGGAGGCCAGTGCAATGAGACCGGACTGACTGCTTCTGCCACTCTTAGGCTTCTACTTGATCTGCATGCCTTGCATGCCTCTGACAGGTCCCTTTGTCCTCAAGTCACACCTGTGCTTTTGTAAAAGAAACTCGGGAAAATGTAGAGGCTGCTGAATTCCCCAACACTTCCACCAGCTCTTTTAATGAGAAATTCAGTTTTCAAAGGCTCTATCAGGAGTCAGTGAAAAGCACTGCTCATGACTGATTTGCACCAATACTGTTTTTCTCCAGCGTGAATGAAACCCAGAAAATAATGCCTTCGTGACTTCATGTGCCTGCATTCAGTGGAAATGGACTTTAATTTCCTCACACACATTTTAAGAAAATGGTTTAACTTGATAAACATTTCACACAAATTTGAAAAGCGCTCATGTGCATGGCAGAAACCTCATAGGATGTCTTTGACTCATAGTCGATGCGAAACTGACTATGACAAGCATTCCAAGCAGGCAGCATGATGGTAACACCCTTTCGAAATGCTGCTGCTACTGCTGGGCTGTCACTTGCGTTACATCTCCTGTAACCCTGTATGTAGCATGGCTCATCACCTCATATCAGTTTTCCCCTGCAGCCTTTCGGCAGCCATGGGAGGGCCCGCTGAATGTCCATTTAAATATTAGCCATTCCACAGGGTTTCTTTGTACCCAATTTTGTTGCTTAAAAATATAAAAATAAAAACAAGCAAAAAGTCTTCCTGGAGACTTCTGTGGCTGAAGTAAGCAACACAGACAGCTGTCTGCGGTCTGGCTTCCTGCATCAGGAATGCAATGTTTAAGTATTGCATTTGCTGGTTGACAAAGAAAACCAGCAAATGCTGTTTGTCAGAGAACATCACCACCTTGTCTATGCCATCTGTGTCACTGGGGAAGGGCCTTGGAAGCGCCAACATTCCATCAGCACTGAGCAGAGTATTAATGTGTCTGACTCTGCTGTTTTTCTCCCTCCCAATTTCAGTGTTCATTTTGAAGAAAGCAGGTATAACATTTTCACCTATTTGGTTAATTAAGACTGTTGAATACAGTCCTGGTCAGTGTGGCTCTGTGGATTGGACATCGTCCCATGCACCAAAAGGTCACCAGTTTGATTCCCAGTCAGGACACATGCCCGCTGTGCGGTCTCGATCCCCAGTGGGGGGCATGCAGGAGGCAGCTGATTGATGTTTCTCTTTCATTGATGTTTCTCTCTCTCTCTCTCCCTCTACCTTCCTCTCTCTCTCAAATCAATAAAGAAAAGATATATATAAAGCATGTTGAATACAATATATAATTAGCAGCTAAGTTTATGTCATCATCCAGAGAACTAGTTCAATAACGCTGTGTGCTTTTGCAACCTAAACCTGTGTGGCCTATGGTTTTCTGTTAGGCTCACAATTGTTCGTAAACACACTGAGGATTGACCCTGACCTTGCAATTCCTTTCTCTTTGCAGAACCACATCACGGCCTTCGCGGAAGTCACATGATACGGAAGCTGATGGGTTCTCCCTGCATTGGACATCGTCCCTTTTCACCATCCATCCGTAACACCCAAAGTTTGTTTGATTGCAGAAGTTTCTAAAGTTGTCCAATGATTTTTATAAGTTTAAAATCAATGTCGATGTATCTGTTTCCCCCACTAGACTGTGAGCTCCTCAAAGGCAGGGCTGTGTCTCTCTGTATCCCCACTACCTACAACAAGCCTCGCACAAAGTAGGTGTTCAATTAAAATGGGGTGACCTGATGAACAAATGAATTCTGAAATAAAACATCCACTTTAGTTTCTCACAGCACCACCGAGGCTATGTGGAAAAACCTCTACACAACTCAAATTTGTATGAGAAATCCCTCCATTTGGGGCCAGTGAAGCTTTTTAATGTTTCATATTACCAATGCAGCAGAATACCATTCTTTCCTTTGACGTGGACTTGGAAAGTCATGGGGGTTTTACTTTATTAGTCAGCATGACATTCTTTCCATCCTAACAGAGTTCCGTGTGTGAAATTACTTTACTTTTAGAAAGTATGTTCTATACTAAAATAACCTTTGCACATAATATTATGCTATTATAATATTATTTCCCTTACAACACCGTTTGTTCTATACCCTCTCAGACTGGTGCTTCTGCTTTTGAAGGGGAAAATGCCAATTTTTACTGTAATAAGTAATGTATTATAATTAAAAGTTATTTATTTGGACTTTGGTTCCTGACCAGAGCGGTGTCATTGTTGTGTAGTGTCTGGGTGCTGGCCGTGGGCCAGGCGGTTCAGGTGACAGCCCAGCGGTGGCTCCTACTTACAGAGCAATTTTCCACTGGTAACAGTGTCTCGAGACTGATCAGACTGGTCGAAGGCTCCATTCTTACACTTTTCACTAGTCAATTTCCACATAAGTTAAATAGGGAAGAACCACACCCTGGCAACCGAATTCAAATGATATAAATGCAAGAAATGTGGTCAACAAATTTCACTTCGCACATGAACGGTCCTCTGCAGCTCTCGAGCCCTTTTTGTCTGTCCCATCGCGGGGCCGGACAAGCCCTGCGAGAGCCTGGCCGTAGCTCTGCAGCGGGCAGCGGTGACGCAGGGACAGGGGAGCACGGCGCCTGCTTCCCGCAGCTACAGCCGATGTTGGCACAGCGCACGTCCAGGCTTTCTGTCCTGAGCCGGCAGCGGTGACGCAGGGACAGGGGGGCACGGCGCCTGCTTCCCACAGCTGCAGCCGATGTTGGCACAGCGCACGTCCAGGCTTTCTGTCCTGAGCCGGCAGCGGTGACGCAGGGACAGGGGGGCATGGCGCCTGCTTCCCGCAGCCGACGGCGGCACAGTGCACGTCCAGGCTTTCTGTCCTGAGCCGGCAGCGGTGACGCAGGGACAGGGGAGCACGGCGCCTGCTTCTCGCAGCCGATGTTGGCACAGTGCACGTCCAGGCTTTCTGTCCTGAGCCGGCAGCGGTGACGCAGGGACAGGGGGGCACGGCGCCTGCTTCCCACAGCCGATGTTGGCACAGCGCACGTCCAGGCTTTCTGTCCTGAGCCGGCAGCCCTTCCGGTGGCCCAGGCTGCCGTGCTGGTCCGGCCGCGCTAGGGCTTTTGAGAGGTCAGGCACACCCAGGAAACTACCTATATTAAAAAAAAAAACACACACACACGAAGAAATGCCACAACAGAGTTCAAACACTATGTTGTATTTTAAATGTTTCTTTTAAAAATGAACCTTCTTCAAATATCCAACAATGGAGTAACCTATTTATTTTCCTGTAACAAATCATGTTGAGAGTGGATGTGAGGGCTTCGTGAAGTCGAAACCGAAATCAGACGCCTCCCTTGTCACGCTCGCCCCTGCCCTGCCCCGCCTCGAGGGCCCGGGACCAGGCCTTCCCCCAGCGTGGACGAGCGAGGACGAAGATCGTGAGGACGACCCAGTGGACTGAGCCGCCCCATGTGAGCAGTCACCAATTGGCTGAAATACCTCCAGACCTTGGCAGAACTAAAGAAAATACATTTTTAATTTTCTCTGTAACTTCAACAGAAATCAGAAAATAAACAAACCAAACACCTTTCCATGACTTCCAAAGTAGATGTTCCGTGGTTTCTCCATCACTGTGGAAGTTAAAACTGGACATTCATGTTACCGCCACTAGCAGACCAGAGCCACTCAGCTCAGGTGGACGCGCAGGACAGGAGAAGCTGGAACGCCTTGACCCCCTTAAAGACCAGGTGACACTGGGGTCAGGCCCTCACTTCCGGGACACTGGAGTGGCACTTAGTGTCTTAGAGGGCGGGGGTCCTGGTGAGACTTCCAGAGTTGGAGCAATTCCGTCGGTTCTGGGACCAGTTTCCCCAGGAACTGGTTGGCAACGCTCTCCTGTTGAAAGCCTTAGCCATGTGCTTGTACCTTTGCTGTACCTTTGCACCTTGTTAAACCTGTCTCAGTGCAGGAGTTTTCAATTCCTCAGAAACCCAGGCTGAACCCCGGATCCCAGTCAGGCCCTCTCTGACATTTAAATGTCATGGGCCCAAGATTCTGCAGCAATGAATAATCCTTTTGTCAAGGAATTTCAGAAGAATAAAAGATATCTGTGCAGAAGGCAGGAAACCAGCAAAGAACCCTTAAGAACCATCCCTCTCTGTTCCAAGAACAATGAAAACACATTGAAGAAAGTGCTGATTTGTAAATATGTACATTGTAGTCTAGTAAAAGCAGGCAAACACGTTATCTTTCTGGTGATGGCATCTTTGTATTCTTCTTATTAGGGGCCCAGGTCGGTTTCAATTGGTCAGCCTGAAAATTTCCACCGTCTCTGTTTGCATGGCAGAAACTCTGCACATGTTTTATCTGATCCCTAAGATTGTCTACAGGCTCTGTTATGTTAAAAGAGAGGAGAACCTTCTCCAACAGACTTTTCTCTTCCACTTTTAACGGGCCTCTCTTTCCTCAGGATCTTCCCAGCCAAATATCTCGTTACTGTCATTGCAGTTTCCTCTGCGAAAGAGCGGGGGGAGGGGGTATTCTCTACTGTGTATTGTATTTTTCAAATAAAACTTGAAAAATTAAATTTAAAGATTAAGTTTGATTTCCTCCAGGTATTCATCCTTTCTTGAGGGTGGACGGATGAAGAACGCTCCTCAGGGCAATGACAGCTCCCCGAGTGACTAGAGGATGCTGGGGACAGGGCCTGGGGTCCGGTGATACCAGCTCTTGGGCAGCTAAGTGACCCCGTGCATCTCATGGCCCGGCTCCTTACTGATGGGTCACAGCCCCCTGCAATCTGCCTGGGACACTGAGCAGGTACAGGGCTGCTGCTCCCGGTATGAGCAAGGGGCTGAAGAACAGGCGGAAATGACCTGGTTCGGCTCTTTGCCCTGGACACAGACAAGGGGCCCTGCACACACCCTGCCACAGTTTCCCGGGCCTGGGTTTCCTAATGAATTTTGTAAGTGACGATTCTTTTAAAATATCAATTAAGGGGATTTCTTCCACACATTAAGCGAATGATTCTCTTCTAAGAAGAAAAAAGGATGAGTATTTAAATTTTTCTTTCCTGACCTTTCCACCATAGATCACAGCTGGTTCTCAGAATCTCAGGACATGGTGGAGGTTTAATGAAAAAAAGAAAATGCCTGTCCGGCCAGGTGACTTGGTTGATTGGGGTGTCATCCCGCACACCAAAAGATTTCAGGTTTGATTCCTGGTCAGGGCATGTAGGAGAGGCCAGGGACCAATGCTTCTCACATCTCTCTTTCTCTCTCTCCCCTCCTCCACCCTCCCTTCCTCTTTCTCTAAAATCAGTAAGCATGTCCTCAGGTGAGGATTAAAAGTAACAATATTATTTTTAATAATATTTCCACCTCATGATTTGTGAACATGCCCTGGCTCAGCGGTAGAACGTCCGTCTGTGATCAATGAGTCGTGGGTTCAATTCCAGCCAAGGGCACGTACCTTGGTTGTGGTTCGTCTCCGGCCCTGGTTGGGGTCATGCAGGAGGCAGCCAGTCGGTGTGTCCCTCTCATGTCAATGTTTCTCTCTCTCTCCCTTTCTCTCTCTCTCTCTCTCCCCCTCCCTCCCACTCTATCTGAGGATAAATGGAAAAATATCCTTGGGTGAGGATTAAAAAAATAATTTGTGAACCATGGATGGATTGCAGGATCTAAATTCTAAAGTTGACTGCCATTTTCAAATTTGTGGTCCCACAAATACAAGGACCTCCTCTTAAAAGCATTGCTGCGTGGACACAACCACCCCCCACTCAGGTGTGCTCTCCAAATCCACGTCTCCAGAATGTCCTTCACAAGGGTAGCCCGACAGACCAGCCCTGTGGCCTGTCTGCCCTCATACTTCTAACTGTTCCCCTTTCATTGTGCTGAAACACTGTCAATCCTAGAAAAGGGAAACATTTTTTTTTCCCCAGGAGGAAAATAAAAGGGTGTATTTTTACATTGATATCTTAAAACAGAATAAAGAAAACCTTTTCGAAGATACTGAGACATTTTAAGTATTGCTCAGGCTTCCCTGGAGGACCGCTGGGACCCGGGAAGGGCTCTCGGTTCGCTCCCGGCGAGCGCTGGGACCCAGCGGCTCCGCGCGCACCAGGGACGGCCACGTGCGGACTGTGGGGCCCGGCCCTGCAGACTGGGCAGCCCCGCAGCCCCCGCATTGACAGTGACTAAGAAGGAAGTGGACCCCACTGCTGTGATGCAATAAAATGTGTGGGCTTGTGATAGGTGTTGTCACTGCTGTTCCTCTGACTTCCTTGCTGTTATGGTATTGACTTCGGACTGAAGTCATCTGCTCACCAAAGTGGGCCCACGATGATCCACCTGATGGGTAAGTCAGTCCTAAAGTAGGTGTGTTTTTTCTCACTACTAAAGAAAGTGCGATGTGAGATTTCCTTCCGGGTGTTATCTTAAGGCATCATCTGCAAGAACTCAGAGAGATGTCAACAAATTTAGAATGGCTTCAGAGCGTTGTGTGATGCGAGTACAGTTTTACTGTAAATACAAGGTCAGGTGTTGAGACCGTAAACTGCGGTGAGTGGGTGTTAAACTCCAGCGCCGTGGAAGTCTCGGGCTCTCCTCGCCAGCTTGCTGCTTGCCTTTCGGAGCCGACGTCTATTACACCTGATAAACCAAATGGTATAGACTGCTATTGTTGAAGTGGGAAATTTATGAGACATATGGTGACAGCATCTGGGATCATATCCACATCATTTCAGATGCCTTTATATTTGTTCTGAAAACTCAGTCCTAATCGTGAAATCCAAAGGCATATGGGTGCACCGTCTGGGTAGGTCCCATCAGCGCAGAATCGGACCCTGTTCACTTAACAATGCATCTTTTAAACAGGTAACATGGCCATTTTTCAACTCCCATTTTCCTCTCATTATTGCTGGCTCTTTCTCATTCAACAGGTTTTTCTGGACCAGTGTAAGAATTACAGAAGCAGTGGTGAGCTGAACTCTCTTCTTTACAGGTTAATACAGACATAGTCGCAGA